TTCATTTAATACAACAGAAGGGAGAAAATTTATTTTCTAGAGAGACTTGTTCAGTTGACATGGGGATAAGATTGATATGTTGAGCAAAAATTTGGTCTATATAGACCTGAAGCTCAGAAAGGAAAAATAAACTAGAGATGTAAAGTGACAATCATTTACAGAATAGTGCTCATAGAAACCATTGTAAGAAGTATTTAGGAGAAAAGGAAAAGTTGCATTTACAGTAGAGAGAGGTAATTATTAACAATGTAAATTTCCTCACAAAGTCAAGTGAGAACCAATCCTGAGCTCAGAGGAGGAGTTTAGCCTTCCACAGAGTGAGGAATAAGACTTCCTTCATAGGATCAGGAGAAAGGTGATGGTTGCAAATGGAGACAGGTTATGGATTCATTGCCAGGTAGTGGAAGAACTATGAGTATGAAGACTTACTATACTTTCTCTGTGTTGTAGCAAAGTCACTGCTCAGAGAGATAAGCAAGGAAAGAAAAGAGGGTCTCAGAAATTAGAGGATGGTAGAGAATGCTTGAAAAAGATGTATCAGGCACAAGTAAAAACCCAGTTTATAATGGTGAACGTTATCTTAAAATATCAGTTTGTTTGCTTGGATGATATTCTTCAGCAGTGATAAATGACTTAGAGATATGTAGAAATCAGATAGTTGAGTTCATCCAGGGAAGAAATTGGTAATGTGCTGGTAAAATAAATAAATATTTTCAGTTTGTAAGCCATATTGTCTCTGGAGTAAGTACTCAATTCTGACATTGTAGTGCAAAAGCTACCATAGGCATTAGGAAAATATAGCTATTTTCCAGTAAAACTTTATTTAAAAAATACGTGACAGATTTGATTTGGCCCATGGGAGGTAGTTTATCGATCCGTTTTAGGTTACTGGCAATAGAATGTTTAAAGTATTCAATCAGAGAATCTACAATATTGATTTTCCTAAATGACTGTATATTAGTATCATAATATATTAATGTATAGTATCTTGTCCCAAAGATACTGGTTCAGTTAATCTCAGTTGGGGCCAGGTATCCTATTTTGAAATCACCTCAAGCAATTTTAATGTAAACCCTGGGTTGAGAAGAGCCACAAGTAGTTTGCTCATAGGGAGTAACTGCCCACAGGAGGTGTTAATACAATGGGAGAAGACACAGGTGCCAATGGATTAGAAGAATTAGGTAGAAGAGCAGCTACAATGGCAATCATTGACACACTGAACAGATAGATGATTGATCAAAGAGCAGTGTGCTTGATTTTGTGATTTCAGAGGAATAACAGGTTTTGTGATTATAAATTTCAGGGGTTTGGTCAGTAGCCTCTAAAATTGCCAAACATTATCCCTACCTGTGGTATGGATACCTCCTTGAGGTGTCCCTATCCTGTTGTCCTGGCCGAATGTATTAACTCACTTCTATCAAATAGACTATGGCGGAAGTGATGGATATCACTCCCAAGATCAGGGTGCACAAAATACTATGTCTTCCATCCTGGGAGTCCTCTCTCATGCTCTCATTCTAAGAGATGCCAACTGCTACGTTGGTAGCTGCTTTATGGAGAAACTCACAAAGCAAGAAATGAGTGTCACCAATCAACAGCCAGCAAGGACCTGAGGACTGTCAACAGCCACTTGACTGATCTCAAAAGTCAGTCTTTCCTGAGTTGCCTTTTGAAGATGGTAGCCTTATAAGGAACTCTGAGCTACAGGACCTAATTAATCTCTCTGCAATTTTTGAGCCAGAGAAGCTGACATAATGAATATGTATTGTTTTAATCCACTAAATTTTGGGGTAATATGTTAAGTGGCAATAGATAACTAACAAAAGGGGTGATCCTGGGAGAGAAAGGCTTAAGTGGAGGAAAAGTAAAGCCCGAATGGGTTATGAATATCATTCTTTAAAATTGTAGGGATTGTAGCTTTAGAGGTGGGAATAGAAAAAAATAATCTGTAAACTTGTCACTAACCATGTAACAAAAAACCCTAATTATCCAGGAGGCCATGTGCCTCAGAGAATAGGTGTTTTTATGCCTGAGTGGAGAAATAAAAATTTCCCCCAAACACGGGGATCAAATAGGATGAAGTGTCCACCATTGAATTCTGACATGCAGGACATGGGATGATGATGGGCCCTGGAGGGACTGAATTTGGGGCACAATCAGGCCCATGATGGAAGCCTTTATGAGGTAGAGAGGGAGAGCCTATCCACCCTTGACTGATTGATCAATGAATGAATGCATTGATTGATTTGGATGAAGTGTGAGTATTTCGTCTTGTTTGGGTGAGTACATTGGAAATGTTCTATCTTTTCTCTAAGATTTTCTGCAATATAGTTGAGGTAAAAGTAAATTTTATTTGTTTCAATAAGCATACTGAGCAAGCTTTAATGGTATTATTAAATTGGTAGAGAAAATAACCAATTTTACAAACCCAGGTTTTCAGCCTATTCTTTCAATACTTTAAGAATGATTCAAGAAGAAACTTTAAAAATTGGATATTTATTTCTTTTATTGTTATTTTATAAGAAAATTTTTGATAAATATTGGAAGTTAATATTCTATAGTTTAGAAAAGCAATTTTGAATATCCAACTAGTGAGCCCATATAAAATACATAACACTACAGAATATAGGAAAAGAATAATTTAATGAACTTGAGAGACAAACTGTGTACTTTGTGCCAAGCTTATCAAGGAAGATACAATTTCAATACCAATGAAATAAACTCTCAAAAATTGATTTTTCTTTGTGTGCACTCATCAGTGTAAATACAATTAAATTATAAAGCCTGTATTTGTTCAGGAAAGATGTTTTCTATTCATACTATGCTAACTGGCTGCTTCAGCTTCTGATATTTTGTTATGCAAAAATCTTGCAAAGTGTAGAATTATTTTTTCTAGATCTGTAAAGAATGATGACAGGGCTGGGCACGGGGTGGCTCACGCCTGTAATCCTAGCACTCTGGGAGGCAGAGGCATGAGGATTGCTCAAGGTCAGGAGTTCAAAACCAGCCTGAGCAAGAGTGAGACCCCGTCTCTACTAAAAATAGAAAGAAATTAATTGACCAACTAAAAATATATATAGAAAAAATTAGCCGGGCCTGTGGCGCATGCCTGTAGTCCCACTTACTCAGCTCGCTGAGACAGAAGGATCGCTTGAGCCCAGGAGTTTGAGGTTGGTGTGAGCTAGGCTGATGCCACGGCACTCTAGACAGGGGAACAGAGTGAGACTCTGTCTCAAAAAAAAAAAAGAATGATGACAGTATTTTGATAGGGATTACATTAATTCTGTAGCTCACTTTAGGTAGTGTAGACATTTTAACAATAAACCACAATGAGATATCACCTAACTCCAGTGAGAATGGCATTTATCAAAAAGTCCCAAAACAACAAATGCTGGCATGGATGTGGAGAGATTGGAACACTCTTATCCTGCTGGAGAGACTGCAAATTAGTACAACTCCTGTGGAAAGTAATTTGGAGATATCTCAAAGAGCTAAAAATAGAAATACCATTTGATCCAGCAATCCCACTACTAGGCATCTACCCAAAGGAAAAAAAAAAGACATTCCGTAATAAAGACATCTACACTTAAATGTTTATGGCAGTATAATTCACAATTGCAAAGATGTGGAAACAACCCAAGTGCCCATCAATACATGATTGGATTAATAAAATGTGGTATATGTTTACCATGGAATATTACTCAACTACAAAAAACAGTGGTGAAATAGTACCACTTATATTATCCTGGATAGAGCTTGAGTCCATCCTTCAAAGTGAGGTATCACAAGAATGGAAAAACAAGCACCACATGTATTCACCATCAAATTGGTACTAAGAGATCATCGGTACTAAGATGTTCACATGGTAGTAATATTCATTGAGCGCTGCTCAGGTGGGGGTGGGTAACCTTACAACTGATGGATAAGGAGTACACTGTATGGGGGAAGGGCACACTTGAAGCCCTGACTTGGGCAAGAAAAAGGCACTATATGTAACCAAAATGTTTGAACCCCCATAATATTCTTAAATTTAAAAAAAATATTGCAAAGTGAAAAAAAAATCCAACAATCCTAAATTTGTGGGCCCTTTTCACAGAAGATTGACACCTGTGCATTTTCGTTAAGCTAAGAATAGTATTACAGTTTTTTAAATCATGTGATAATATCATGAATATTTTTTGAAATAATTCAAAATAATTATGACCCAGAAGTTTTAAATTTGCATATCCTGTGATTTAAATATAATGACAGTTTCTTTGCACTACAATAACATAAAAAGCAAGAAGATCAAGGATTGTATCTCTAATTTTTTTATTTCAAAACATAAATTAATTTTCATTTACCACTTTTTTGAGGACTGAAGAGATTCTAAGCACCATGTAGGTTTATAAACTGCTTTCAACAATTTAATAATTTTAATAAATTTAAGAATTTAGTGTTAACTTCAAGAATTTAATAATGATTTCTATAATTTAAATGTCATCAATATCTTCTAAATAACTATTAGTATCTCTGATTTACTATTAGTATCTCTGCTTTAGTGTTGAGAAAATTGTGGCTCAAAGATTATCATCTTGCCCCAAATCATGCAGCTAGTAAGTGTGGTTTGAAATTCAACTTTTACTGACATCATAGCTCATATTATTAGCCAAATAATTAGTTATGTTCAGATGAGGGAAGGTAGTGCTCCTCTTACTGTTGATTATGGAAAGCAGTAGGTGAATTAAGCTGTGAAGATGTGAAGATGTGAAGATGGAGAGAGCAAGGTGGCATAGGAGCAGGCTATGGTCTCTGTATATAGAAGGCAGATAAGCTTGGGTTATAGTTTACCAAGTGAAAAATTACAGACCATGGGCAATTTTTCAGAGACCTTGAGAAGTTTAGGCATTTGATATATTTTGAAAGTCCCCTATAATTGTTATGTACATTCAAACCTGGGAACTCACTTAAACAACATAATATAGACATTTTTTTCCTATCAGATATATGCAAACACTCACATCAAATATTATGTCTTCATGATCGTCAGAAATCCAGACTCAAGACTTGTTGCTTTGCCACTCCCAAGTGCTGCTGTTTCTCATGCTCTCATATAGTTGCTCCAGATCCAGCCATCACAGCTGCCCTTCCAAGAAGGAGAAAATCACAGGAATAGGACATGCTTCCTCCCTTTAAATCAACTTGTCAGAAGTTACATATATCACTTCCCTTTACACTCCATGGATGAGAACTGGTCATGTGTGTCATGCCAAGTGCCAAGAAAGGATTGGGAATACAATATCTATTCCTGGTGGTCATGTGTCTAGCTAAGCATTAGAAATCATCTTTTACTGATGGAGAAAGGGTGAATGGATATTGCAGTTACCAGCTCTGTCTGCCAAAACAAGTACCTTATTTCATGATAACTAGTATAGAAACCGTGGCATCAGGCAGTTTTAATTCATTAAAATTACTTAGAGTCTTTGTTCTTTATTTACTTGTTTGCTCATTTTTTTCCCTCAAAGAAATGCTGCAAGTTTTTTAATGGAATTAAAACAAATACCTCATTAAGCACAAAAGCATAAAATTGTGGAAAAGGATAACTGCCATTTGTTTTCACTCATATGCATAAAATTTATGTGTATTATTTATGCTGACTAATCTTACCAATAGAGATACAACATTTATAAGTTCTATTATTGGCTGGCATTGCATTTGGATCATTCCTTCAGAAGACTGAAAATTAGATTAACCCAAATATCTGTTTAGAAATTGAGCATATCCAGAAACCCTATGCTCCATTTACACAAATTCCCAACTATTTGAATACCTGTAATTCTTAACCTTGGCCAGCTTTGAAATACTATTCCTCAATCTCATACTCTGCCTCATCTACTTGGTTTTAGATGATTCCAGTATACAGCAAGTGTTGTAAAGCACTGATTGTCCTAACTTCTAATAGAAAAGTGCTACTATTATTTCTATTACTTCTAATAGAAAAGTGTTACTATTATAAAAAAAGAAATGTTACTTAATCCATTTGTAGGTACAGAAAACCTTTTTATCTAGAAGTAAAAAATGATACAGTCTTGCATTATAGCTCAGTCATGGCCAAATATAATTTGCAATAACTAAAATAATGGCAATGTTTTGGTAAAGCATGCTGCATTAATATGAATGCTTATGATTTGCCATATATTTTAACATGGTGTACATTATACAATACCATGAAATGAAAATTATAGGCTACATTGAACTTTTTACTGTTTCAACTTTCCCTCAATATAAGCAGGGATGCAGCTGTAGGGTCAGGGAATTCCCAAAAGGCCAATGTGGACTTCTGGTGCCTGGTATCTTATAGCCCTGCCTTTACTGTGCGAATATCAAGGGGTATAGAAGTTGAACATAGCCTGTTAGCACTTCCTTATACAATCAGCTTCTGTCTTGTTCACAGCAGTGTGTGACATTTGAAGGGCGAAAGGAAGAACTACCTGGCTGGACTTTTACCATGTAAAACATCTCTCCCCATTGGAGATTCTACAGCTACCTCTCAAAATCCCAACCAAGGGATGAGATGCTCAATCTTATGTAGTTTAGGGGGAAAGAGGAATTTTGAACTTGCTCCTCCATCATTTTGGCCAAATAGAGCCTGTATTAAGTGTTGAGGATGTTGGGGGCAGAGTGTGTTAGGCAGAATAAAGGCTAAATAAAGCAATGGATTTTAGAAGTGTGTTTCCATCTCAGTATACCCACGTTTCATGTACTGCTTGCACAAATACACACACACACATATATGTGTGTGTGTGTCATATCTAAGACTATATTCCTGAGTTGCACTATTATAAATTGTCTATCTAAGAAAAAATGGAAAGTTCATTGTGTGAGGCAAGAAGGCTTTTGAAATTAATGCTGACAAAAGAATTTCTCCTTTGAAATATTTTCAATCAGAAAGTAGGACTAAATGATATTATTAGAGAATGATTTTCCAGAAAATCTTTATTACCAAGTATTCTTTATTGCTCAAAAATTTTTGTGGCCACAAAATAGAAAAGATCTGAAATTGAAACAAACTTCTATTTAAAAACTTGGACTGTTTAAATTATTAGACTAATTACTTAACAATTATGAAATCAAGATGCTAGATACAGAAAGTTAACTGTATCAAGCAATTAAAATATGTCAGTTCATTAAAATATCATATATTGACTACATGAACATTTTGCCATTTCTCATTACTTTTATGAAAAACAGTTGGAATCAGAAAACTAATGTTTAACGTATATTTTAAGGGCAAGAACAATATATAAAAATAATCTCTTCTTTAAATATTTTAAAATATTTAAAATTAATATTTAAATATTTTTTTAATCTATGACCCAATTTCAAACTCATTGTTCTTAGAGCTTCAATATGTCTCCACATGGGGTCACCCCTGTCTCCTCAAAATTAGCTGATAAATGAGTAAATAATATATTATCTAGGTTGACTGGTGATACACATAAAAAGTTCCAATAGTTGACTTAGTGAAGTAAAAAAAAATACATATTTTTCAAATATTTATATAAGCAAATAAATCTATATTTTGACAAGTGACTTAATAAACCAGGTTAAATAATTATTACTAGAGTTGAATAAAGGTAGTGGTATTGGTAAACTAGCACTCCAAATAACAAAAGCCTTGATAAGCAAAACTGAAACTCGATATTCATTAAACAAAAACTCCCATTCTCTTCCCCTCCCAGCCTCTAGCAACCACCATTCTGCTTTCTGTGTCTCCAAATTTGACTACTTTAAAAATTGTGTAGAAATAGAATCATATAGTATTTGTCGTTTAGTGACTGGCTTATTTCACTTATCATAATGCCCTCAAGATTCATCCAAGTTGTAGTATGAGTAAGAATGTTTTTCCTCTTCTAGGTTGAATAATATTCTATTTTATGTATACACCACATTTTGCTTATCCATTCATCCATTGATGGACAATTGGGTTGCTTACACCCCATGTATTATAAATAGTGCTGCTATGAACATGGCTGTGCAAACATCTCTTTGAGATCCTTTTGGGTAAGTACTATTCTTTTGGATTTGTCTACTATGTATTTGGATATATACTTGCTTTGGTTTTTAGTGACACTCGTTTTCATAGGTTCTGGAGGTTGATAATTAAATCATTGATTTAAGACACTTTTACTCCACTAATATAAGCATTTGACACCTAAATTAATTTCCTTGTGATTATAGATTTAGCTTCATCCTATTTCATGCATTTCAATAAGTTGCATTTTAGTGTTTATCTAGTTCAAAACAGTTTAAAATGTCCTATTGGACTTTGTTAACCTCTGCAGTATTTAAAAGTGAATTATTTAATTTCCAAATATCTAAAATTTTTTTCAGTTTCACTGCTGTTTTTTTCTATTTTAATGCTATTAAAGCCAAAGAATATGCTTTGCATGATTCCGATTTTTCCAGCTTTTTCTGAGGTTTATTTTATGCCTCAGAATATGATCAAGTTTGGAAAATATCCTGTGTACACTTTAAAATAATGTGTACTATACTATTATTGGGTAGAGTGTTTTATAAATTGTTAGGTAGAGTAAGTTATTCCATGGTAATGCTTAAATCTTTTATTTACTTACTGATATTTGTTCTACTTTTACATTTTATTGTTTACAGAGAGAAGTATGGTGAGTGTTTCTACTACAATTGTAGATTTTTTAATTTCTTCTTTAATGCCTAATGATTTTTTCTTGTATTTTGAAGGTTGTTGTTAGATGCATACACATTTGAAATTGTACTATATTTTCCATGTATTGATCAGTTTATAATTGTGAAATATATATCTTTATTCCTGTTTGCAATACTCCTTCTTTTGGATTCTATTTTTGCATTGATATGACAACCCCAGTTTTATTTTGTTTAGTATTTATATGGTTCATTATTTTTCATCCTTTTATTTTACATGATATATTCTCAAATTCTGTTTTTATATACAGTGTATATAGGTGGATATGTAATTTTTATTTGTTACTTTGTTTGAATGCAATTTGATAAATTCTATTTAAGTCTTTGTATTGCTTTGCTTACACTATTGGCATTTAATGTACTTATTGACATGATTGGACTAAAATCTGCCATTTTGTTAGTTGTTTTCTTTATTTTCCATATTTTTTCTTTTTCTTTCTGCTTTTGTATTTGTTGTCTCTATAATTGTATTAATCAATACTATTGTCTTATCCATAAATTAATATTTGTTTAGAGATTACAATATACATCTGACAATACCCTGTTATACATCACAATACATTAGAATTAAGTTCTGCTTTAGATAATAAATGATTTTCTTGGAGCATTTAAGATACAAAAATATTATATTTTGTATTGACCTTTAGTTTATTTATACTGTTACAGATATCTTGATTTGATTGTGTATTTCCATGTTTCTATCTGTTGTCATATACTTTTTCTGAGAAACTTTATCATATATTTAGTATACTTGTTTACAATACTCAATATTTCAATTTCCTGTATTTATGAATATGTAAGATATTTATCTGTTTTTAAATGTAATTTCTATTTGTACAGCTTTCTGGTTTACACCTTATTGTTTATGTTTGTGTATTTGTTTTCTACTGCACTTTATCATATCACTCCATTTCCTTCTGGCTTGCACAGTTTTTGGGTTTTATTTTGTTTTGTTTTTTTCTGTTTGTTTGTTTTTTTTTCTTTTTTATGTTATAAAGAATAGAAGTTTATTTGGTGCATAATTGTTGTGGCTACAAAGTCCAGGCTTGAGTATCTGGAAGAAGGGCTTCAGGCTGCTTCCATACAAGGCAGAAAGCAGTAGGGAATTGGGTGTGTGCAAAGAGATCACATGATGAAATGGGATGCAAAGGAATGAAACCCAGGAAACCAGAATGTTAACAGCCTGCTCTCTTGGGAACTAATACAATCCTGCATGAGCAATAACTCATGTGCCCCAGTGGGAAGGCATCAATCTATTCATGGCCCCTGACCCAAATACCTCCCACTAGACCCCACCACCCAACACTACCACATCAGGGATCAAATTTCAAATGAGTTTTTGTGGGGACAATACAAACCATATCCAAACCATAGCAGTCTCCAACTGTTATTGTGGAACCATTT